TTTTTTTTTTTTTTTTTCTAACTTTTATACATAAAAGTATATATATAATTTATAAACATATTATAACAGGTTACTTAATATAAACCATAGATATACTCAACAAACAAGAACAAAAAATCAGTTTATGCTGAATATAAATTGATTTTATACATAAAAGTTATGTCACGCGATAAATTTTTGAATCATATACCGAAAATATACTGAATATAAATCATATATATACACACAAAAATAAAAAAAAAAATCAGTTTATCACAGCAAGTGGGAATAGGAAAAGGAATTGAAAATTCAATGCAAGTACACCACAATATTTATCACTGCCAATTACGATAAAAAAGAAAAGAAAAGAAAAAAAGAATAAAAAAAGAAAGAAAGAAAAGAAACGAAAAAAGTTAAGGAAAAATAGACAATTTGACATCTATGATCTGGAGCTCGACCTTATCAATAAATTAATTAGTAACAAAATTCATCCTCACCAGCCATAGTAATGATGGCGAGACAAAAAAATTGGCGGAACAATCCAATTAAACAAGAGCAAAGTCCGTTGTTTTATTGTCGGTTTTTCCTTTTCCTTGTCACCTTCGGATCTATGATTTGATATGAACAATCAAACCCGACTTATTCCTCTGAAACTTAACATATAATCAGCATAACAGCAACATAATAACAAGGCTCGACAAACTCAGTTTGGGTCGGCTCTATTTTTGGCGGGAGATGATCGGCGGACATTCTTGTCCGCGGGGCGGCGGTGCTTGAGCGATGCGGTGGCATGAGGGATGGGCTGGTTGGGGCGGGGGTTTGGCGGATAGGAAGGAATATATGAAGATGGGGTTTTGCAGAGAGAAAGAGGAGACTTGGGCGGTGGGTTGTTTTTGCCGTGAGAGTTTCAATTTTTTGTCCATTGTTTAGGTTAAGGAGATCCTTAATTGAAATTAAGGATTTGATTAGCATTTAATATGCCAGGAAAAAAAGGGAATAACGTTACATCCAATGTTAGGTAAAATTGAAATATTTTTGGCTTGATTAGGCAATTTTATAAATAAGAATATAAGGGGCATATAAGTGTAATAAAAACCATAACTATTGGTAAGGGGTGTAAATTCCTCAAAAAAAAAAAAAAAGGCCAAGCATTTGAAATTCAGTGGGCCTCTTGAATGGCCCACGCAACAATCAAGTAAAAAAAAACACTGTAAAAGAATAGGGAAACAACTTGTCCCACATCGAAAAACTGTCAAAAAAAATGAAGAGTTTATAATGAAAAAGTCATCCCTCCTGTTTGAGTTAGTAGCCGTTGGGCCGGTGAAACCAGATCTGGTTTTACCGATTTTTAAACGGTTCAAGCGATTTTTAACCGATTTTGGTGTCGAGCGGTATAACACATCTGACCGGACCGCTGACAAGTCCGGTTCCCGGTTAAACTGGCCAGTCCGATCCGGTTTTCATAACAATGATTTTTACCGAGCACGGGATGGATCCCGGCCTCATGTCGATCTCTCAAGGAAAACGATTCGGAATCTAGATTCAGTATCAATCACACACGAAAACAAAATAAGTCCTAAACATTTTAATCGAGACTGCGGTTGATTGAATTATCTTGATTAAATAACAATAAAATAACAAGAGAAGTAGTAGAAGTTATAGGGTTCGGAAAATCTTATGACGTGTACACTTGTAATTTTTTAGCCCGATTTAGCGCCCTGACTATATACTGGTTGGGGGTCTGGTCTTAACCCCCTACCCTTCCAGGGTGTGCTATTCCAAAAAAAGTAAAAAAAAATGTTCAATCCTAATCTCTAGATCCGCTACGCTTACGATTAAATTGTTGATAATTCGAACTTGTACAATTTCGATGTTTTTAATCTAGCACCAACACTGGATTAGTTAATCCGGTACAAATACGAACAATCCTTCTCCTTTGAGCTCCAATGACCTGCAATACGTCAGGGAGGGGTCTCGACAGAAAAACATCAGACACTCAAATCAAAATTCTCCCGTCAAAATATCGAAAATTGTATGAAAAAGATGCAATAATATCTAAGAGTAAAACCTGATCACCCCTTATATACCCAAGGTATTTGGCAGCCCAAGTCCTTACTATGAAAGAGATCATATACCATATCTTATTTCTTAGTTCAACACGTCTCTGAGATCTTTAGACTCATTGGTGAGATATATTTTCCATCTTTAGTAGGACTCTGTCCCTTCTTATCTTAAGACTCATAGGTCTCAGGTCATCTTAGCAACCTTGCGACCCGACTACCATAAGCTCTTACTTGGTCGAACAACCGACCCTCTCTTATACGACGTGCAAGTCATAAAGCTCCTAACGTCCTCTCATCTGTTTGAGTTTCTGGAGGAGCTCGAACACTTAGTCTTCTAACCAGGTCAACTCATCTTCTGAACCGCCTAAACGGATTGTCTGATAATGTCTGATACCGAGTTGAATTGAAGTTACTCAAATCGTTCTTACCCGAGCTAACCACTCACGCCGTTATCGAGTTATTATGGGTGCTAAATCAAGATCCACAAAAACTTGGTTAATTTGCGAGTAGAATATTTGGGGAAATTGTAATTTTCCTCAATTTAACATAATAAACAAAACTCCCCTCCGCAAGGCCGTACTACAGATATGGTGAAAAAACGGAACACACACCATCGGCAGCTGTAAAATAACAGATCTTTTCCCCTCTCAACCAATCAGCTTAACTTCTTCCGCCGATCGATCATCAATGGAGGGTGTTGGGGCCAGATTTGGCCGATCCTCGTCTCGGTACGGCCCCGCCACCGTATTCACCGGTCCCGTCCGCAAGTGGAGGAAGAAATGGGTCCCCGTACCGCCGTCCAGCTCCAACCACCAGCATCACTCGGCGGCCAACGGAGCTGGAAATGGGACTAATAGCTCCAGTCACCTCATGCTCTTCAAGTGGACTCCGATCACCCCCAGCCAGAACAAGGAGGGTAATGGTAATAATCATAATAACAACAACTATGGCACTACCGACTCCAAGGTATCACCTGAGGACGACGCCGGTTCGGCAGAGGAGCCTCCGAGGAGAAAGTTCAAGTATATCCCGGTAATTTTCCTGCAATTTGAACTTTGCCCTAATACGATCGGCGGGTTGATTTGGATGTGAATATATGTATATTTGCTACTGTATTTGATATTTGTGGCTTTAGGGTTTTTGATTTATTGTAAAAGAAATCTGAATTTGGATCGAACTAAATCAGCTAACTGAGGTTTGTTGAGTATTTGTTTTTCTTGTGGTTTTGGAAGCACCAGAACGTAGGTTGAGGTTGGACATGCTGTAGGGAAATGACATGAAATGATTTGACTATCTCGTCGGGAAAGCCCCTAAGTTTAGAGACCCTCTAGATTTTCTAGTTAGTGCTTGTGTGTTGGATTTGATGAATAAAGTAGGAGATGTGAAAGCTGATGAAAAAAAGAAGCATACATCTGAAGGTCCTAAATTATTTATAGTTATGGTCCACTTGTTCTTTGTTGTTCTTGTCCATGTGTCATCATCTGAAGTGACCTTATCACCAAGCAATCAAAGGCTGACTGACATGTATTTACCTAGTTTGTATATGGTTTGGGTCAGGTCATCCTGAATTACTAAAAGACATGAGCTTTGGCCTTTCAGTGGTTCTTTTTATCATATTTCTGAAGGCCAAACTGGTAATTTACTTATATACATATAATGTTGGCAATTTGCTGATTATTAGGGTATCTTGTTTTATTTCCTATTTTCCTCTTCATTTTGCGCGTTTGTGTATGTGCATGTTTTGCTACAGATGAGAATTGGGGAGACATGAACCATATTTTTCCAGTGACCTGACTAAGAGAGAAATTAAATGTGATCATATTGCACAACTCTACTGGGTTGTTCTTTCTGTTTGATATTCATATAACGGCACTATAAATTGAAGTGTTGATAGCATCTACTGATGCACGTCATCTTGGGTAGTCCACGTGAGTGCCATGAGCTTTGGAAGGAAAACAGTTTCAATTTCTATGATACACAGAAGCATGTATGAAATTCTCTTTGTTGACCACATAAATAGTAGCTACAATTTCATGGACTGTTGGATGTGTACACAGTAGTAGTTACCATATCAATTTCTACATTTTTCAATGCGCAATGTCAATCTATAAGCTTGCAAGATTACTGGGTACATTTCACTCGGTAATGGTTAGTATTAAGCATCTCATGAACTGAATGGATATCACATTGCGTTTTCTGATTTAGTAATTTTCCTATCATGCAAAGATTTATTTGCTCTTAAGAAAGAAACACTGTTGTTATTTGTTAATTGAACAATCTTTGAAAAGTGAGAAATAGCACACCAAATTCCATATTTTTTTTAATTTAATTTTCTGACATATTGGTTTTGCACAATTCTGCTATTAGTAATTTGATATCAAACTTTTTTTTTTTTCGGGGGTGATGATTTGATAGATTGATGTGCTTGAAGAACTAAAGAATGAGTCATCGGAACAGATTGAGGATGAAGCTAAGGTGAATGATATAGACGAAAACGCAGAGGAATTGACCTCCAAAAGTGATGGATATGATGGGAAGCCTGACATCAATGATGTGCCCACGGATGAAACTGAGGTGATTAACTTGCATCCTTAAATTTTACAGTAAGGTTTTTGAGTCCTTAATGGAGTTTTATATTGTGAAATAAGATGTTTGAACTATTAATATATATTCATCGATATTTTATGAGCTATGAGCCTTCTGCTTTAATCGTGATCAACTTTCTAGGGTATGATCAATATGACAAACAGAACATTTTCTCCTTCTTTACTGTCTGATCAACCTTCCCCTTTTAAAATGTGTTCCTATCAAATCATCTTCTCTGGTGTTGTTAAAATTTATATATTGAGTATTGCATTCCTCTATTCATATATGCTATTGAATTACTCTTGTTCTAGGATCCAAAGAAAAGTCCAGTTGAACGGCAGGATCTGAATGAAAGCACGTTGGAACTAAGTTTGGGCTTCAAAGTCGAGGCAGAAGATGTTCAGGCTAAGGAAGACCAGCTTGAATGAGTGAAGCATAATGGTCATTGAACGTTACAGTAGCTGCGAATATACGGTAATAAGTCTAAGAGTAAAGAAGTGCTAAGTTATGCAAATTTAGCCTTTGCAGGAGTTCCTGGCTTATTTTCAAGGTACCTGGTCCCCTGGACAAGTAAAACTTGAGCGACTATAGCTGTATTTTTTTTAGCTTTTTTCTTGATTCCGTTTCTACCCCAACTTGCTTGGGACTAAAAGGCTATGTTGTTGTTGTTGTTGTTGTCGTCTTGATTCCCTTTCTGAGGTCTGTGGTCATACAATTTGTTGGATCCATCTCCTTGGGAATGTAGTTACAATCTGTTCTTTTTTTTTCTTTTCCTTAAATATAAATAAGAACTTCATCTCGCAGTTCAGAGTTTCTTTGTTTTTCTAGTTTCATTACATTTGCTCTTTTAAATGTCAGTTATTCTGTAACAAATGTGTGATTTGCCAATCACAAGGAATCCAATTGGTTTTCCCTGTGTACTTTGATTTTTCCTCTTTTCTGATTGAGATTTTCTCAGTTCTTACGGTTAAACAATTTGTTGTGAATAATACTTGCACTTTCTTCTGACCACTGCCAATGGCACGTGGTTAACTGTGATAATCGCATTTCCTGTCTTGATTTAAGCGGCGATTGAATTTCCAGGAGGATTAATGGTTCGAGAAACAGCCTTTTCGGTCTCGTGCATCTTCAAAACAGTCTAGCCTCAAAACAGCTTTGATTCTGTGAATTAGAGGCATTTGAATCTGAGCACTTCAGGCTTCGCCTTCACGGGCTGGGTACTATTGGATTTCTCGGATTTAGCGCGGTTTGCCGTTTTGGGCCTTTCTTCTGTGTTTTTCCTCACTGTTTGAGCTTTTGGGAACCCAAATCTAGAACAATTGAATCCAATTGCATGAGGCTATGAGAACTTTATGATGCTGAGATGAATATTTCCGCACAAGGGCATGATTGGTACAATGACCTATATCATCTTATAATATTTTATAAGGAACCGATAATATAATCTTTTGTGCGATGATGTCACATCATATTATCTTCAATGTCAATAATAGGACAAATTGCATATTCATACATAAAGTAAAATGCAAATACATCTACTAAACAAGATTTTTTTATTTAAAATGGAAATAAATTCAAACGAAGCATTATTTTCAGTATACAAATAATCAAGCTCCCATTTATACAAATTCAAATGGAAATTGATTTATAAAATATCTGTATCGAAAACTGAGCCAAGGAATGAGACAAAGAACTAATTCCAAAACATTCATAAATGTATTTGTGTGTGTATAACATGATATCTTATGCAATTTTTTGTACATAATTATTTTAAATCTTAGGCTTTCACTTGTGCATAACTTATTTTAGCATTTGCATACATTCAACATTGTATGCCAGTAATATAGTTATGGAAATCTCATATTTAATAATTTCATTCTTCTTATTCAATAATTTATGTGTATAATAATTTATCTTATGCTTTCTTTTGTATATAATTATTTTAATATATGTATAAACTTTAGCACTATATGACATAGTTAAAGTTTCATAGAATCTCAGATTTAATAATATTGCTATTTTTTTTCCTAAATTTATATGCTTATAATACGTTATCTTATAATTTCTTTTGTTCATAATTATTTTATTTTTCCATAAATTCAATAAGGTATGCCCATAATATAGTTAGAGTTTCATAAAAATCTCATATTTAACATACTACTCTTACTCCAAAATTTTTATGTGTATAATATCTTATCTTATGCTTTCTTATGTACATAATCATTTTAGCATTTGCATAAATCCTACAATGTATACCAATAATATTATTAAAGTTTCATGGTGATCTTGTATTTAATAATATTATTCTCTTTATTAAAAAAAAACCTAGTGCATATAATATTTTACCTTATACTTTCTTTTGTACATACTTATTTTAACATTTGCATAAATTTAACAATATATATGAGAATAACATAATAATCGTTTGGAAAGGGTTTAACTTTATAAGAAAAAAAATATACGGTTGACCTGAATCTCCAAATCGAATCGAACATAAAATTGAGACAGTTCGGGACGAAAATTTCTTTACACCTATTTGATTCAAGAAATCCAATTTTAGAAATCTTCGAATTTCGGAAGGGTACAAAGATTCAGAAATCTTCGAACCGTCCCAACCCATATTCATTACTTAACCCTACTTTTAATTAATGTGTGATAAATCATATTCGTGTATCCCATATTTAATTTATAAATATAACCTTAATATGATTTATCCGTGTAAATTTAAACATTGTAATCAAAATTCATGAAATTGAAATTTAGGTGGTCTACGGATTTGACTGGATCGAGTCTGAGCTGGGCGGCCCGTGGGCATCTCTACTCTAACTCATGTGTTGTTGCTAACCATATATAGTAAGAAATCCTCCATTATTAATTATATTTTACGTTTTTAATATTTTATGACATTGTTATTCCAATGAAAATAAGAATTGAGTCGCTAGAGCTCGAACTCATATAGCAGGAGCTCGAGCTCGCCTTGACTCGTTAATATCCCTACCTGACTCTGAAAGTAACATTACATGTACATTTTTTGTTTTAATAAATATACATACATATCTAAAGATGAACGTTTATTTTTTTCACCGAAGTTGATTAGTTGACTAAACTAGCCGAGAAACAATTTCAAGTTCAACTTAAATAAAAATTAAACTGCGGAAATGGATTTAAATGAGTCAAGCTAAATTAAGCATTCAAAAAAGTATGTAAAAATTCTCTCTCAAATATAATGAGCCGAGTTTGGCTACTTAACTAAAATGAACTCAAAGTCTAACTTATTTGTTAAGGGCGCCCCTTTTATTACTAGTCATCACCCCTTTTGGATAGTTTTGTCCTTCACTATTCTCTCTCTCTACTCTTTCCTTCTCGATTTTCTACAGCTCTTTTGACCGAAAAAAAATTTCGAAAAAATGCAAAAAAGTACCATGACATCGGCAAGACATTGAAAATTGACCATATATATTTTTTTTTTACTTTGTAAATAATTTTTAATTTTTTTTTGATTTTATTTTTTTGGCGCGTCCTACCGGCGAGGCCGGACGCCTTTTGGCGCGTCCTACCCACATGTGGTATTCGGCTTCGCCGGTAGGACGTGCCAAAAAAATAAAAATAAAAAAATAAAAAATTATTTACAAAGTAAAAAAAAATACGCGGTCAATCTTCAATGTCTTGCCGATGTCATGATATTTTTTTGGTATTTTTTTGAAATTTTTTTTTCGGTCAAAAGAGCCGTAGAAAATCGAGAAGGAAAGAGTAGAGAGAGAGTAGTAAGGGCAAAAACGTAATTGAGGTAGGGGCGGTGAGTAATAATAAGAGGGGCAGTGAATAGCAATTGAGTTTGTTAAATGAGTCTAGCAGCCGAACACACCAGTATCTTGTTTAGCTAACTCTACTATCCAAAACAAAGCATGAAATATGTAGAAATCCATTCAAGTGTTTACATTATGCACAATTTTTTTTTTTCACATTTAATGTGCAATTGGCATGGTTTCTTCAAATTTCTCCACTTTTTTCGGTGGTGTTGTCTAATAATAGTCACTATCTTGAATTTTCTCAGTGTTAAATTATATTACTTTAAAACACTACTTCACAATCACGTTTAGAATTTTTTACGGTGCAGTTATTGTTAAGTAGACAATTTACAACTGATATTCCAAATTTCCAATCAACCAACTTTTTCCTTTTCACTTTTCCTTTATTTTTATCAAAGGATGAGACTTCCATTCAAAACAGAACAAAACACAACGTAACCCAAACCCAAAGGGTGGATTAACACAGCCTTGGCTTTACAAGCTTACCAAGGTAAAATGAAACTCAGCCCCTCAACCTATAAGCACAGTTCTATTAGTAATCACAAAACACCATCCAAACCAACAACTTGAAGGAGAAGATTTAAGCTATACAAAAGCCTAGCAAACCAAAAATACAGAAAACAGAAACAGAAAAATAAAAAACACGATATAGCTGCATCTTCACAAATTAACGAGCAATCATACAGAACCGCACAAATGAACACCTAATATAGCAAAGCCTCCAGGCCGTAGCACCGCAAATCAGATTCGATCCATAAGTTCGCATTAGAATCAAGTCATGGGGTTCCATTTCTAGAAAATTACACGCACAATCCATATCAAATCATATACGTGCATAACAAATTAGCTACCAAGCAAATTCAGGAGCAAAATAACTAACTACACGAAGCTAGTTCAGCTACCAAGACAAGAGTTGTTACGTACAAGACGAAACCAAAACCAGGATAGAATTTGATATATATACTAAACTAGATATATATTAGCCAAAACCAAAAGCAAGGCAGATGGAAAATGATATATGCGAGCCAAAACCCAAAGCAGGGACAGAGCTTGATACATACATACGAGCCCGAATAAAAAGCAGTCACCCTTCAGAGCACTAGCTTGAATCCAGTCGACAGAAAATCATCCCTGTAAAAACATCAGGAAACAAACCATTTGAACTTACACAAGGTAGCCTAAAACTGACAGTACAAATTGGCAAAATAAAACTGCATGAGAACTAAATCAACTCAGGGGCTATCCATGCAGATAAAAGGCAAGTATTAGCAAACCTTAAACAGGAACAAACAAAAATCATAACAACTAACCACACAAATGAAAAGGATAAATTAGCCAAATTTCAGCACTTAACCTCTTCTTTTTAATTTCTTTCCCCTTACTGCCCTGCACAACGTTCTTCTTTCCACCCCCAACTCCACCAGAAGCAAAAGGCGAAACAAGGCTCCCGACACACTCCAAAGCATGTATCATGGGGTTATCAGCACCGAAAGAAGCACTCATACCATCGACACAAGCAATTGTAACGGCTCCTGTCTTCAAATCAAACCAATTGGGACAAAATCCTTCGTAATTTAACAGAACCTTACCACCGTCTTTAGAATAAGCCACCGGGTACAGATTCTCGCAAGGCTGGGCAACAGGCGGATCAAAGCAGAGTAGTTTGACCCAGGACTCCTTCACTCCGTACTCCTTCATCACCCAAATCTCGCTAGTGTTCATCTTCCCAGGGACAACTGCCGCCAGGCACCCTCCCAGCACCTCCACAGACATCACGCCGCTAAATTCTGGCATTGGGATATCATAATGTTCTTCTTTAGATAGATCAAACGCCATTATCTCGGGAAAGGGGGAGTTCATGCGTCGATAGCCAGTGTGCAGTGCATTATTCAGACAAACGCCCCATGACAAGAGAGGATCTATCGCATAGGGGAATCCATCGACGTTTTTCCAGGAATTCGAATTGACGCTGTAAATATTGGTAATAGATAACTCATCCTCCTGACACTCGTTATCCGGGACCACCTGCACGACTTTGTAGTCATCATGCTTCGAGTCGTAGCCCAGGGCGTATTGGGCTGGCCAATGACTGAACACGGGTGGCGGCGGCAGTTTGTTGAGTTTTCTCGTGGAGGGATTCCAGAGGGCGACCTCGTCGGAGTGTGACACGAGGAGGACCAGGCCGTTGCAGGAGCACAGGACGTTCCGAGGCTTCAATCCGATGTTTCCGGCGTCTAATAGCTTGAAGGAGTCTAGATCTACCCAGAAAAGCTCGTTCGATCGCACTATGAGGGTGCGATTGGAGTTGGTCTCGGCTGAGAGGCGGAGATGGAGTTTGATGAAATCGCGGCCGTCGATCAGAGCGCGCCATGGCTTGGAGACACGGCGAAAACGCAGAAGAGATTTCACTGGGAGACGGCTGAGGATGGTGGTGATGATTTCCGGAGGTACGTCGGACATTCTGAAAATGGAGTTTTTTTTTTTGTCCTTTCGGAAATGGTGTGAGAAGTTATGGCGGGGTTTTCAGGATTTTTCTGATTTGGATTTGGGATATCTTTTCTCCAAAAAGCGAGCCCTCGATTTACGCTTGACATGATTGATGCCGGCCAAAATATCCACATTCATTATTTTATTTTTTTTATTATAAAAATTTCCGCTAAAAATTTTGAAAGTTATTGTTTTTAGTGAAAGATATCCACACCAACTTGGCACCAACTTGGCACCAAACTCTAATAATACAGTAAGCTAAAAACCTGAGTATAAACATATCTTCATCTCCTCAATTTTAGTGAAAGAAGAAATACCCAATTTCGATGGATCAAGTTCTTGTTAGAATTTTTTTCTGTAGTTTTAGTAGAAAAGCCCTTTGTTCAATTGTTATGTTTGTGTTAGCATATCTATTAAAATTTTGTTGCATTCTGAATAAAAAAGAATCAAATGCCATTGAAAGTTTAATAAACACAAATTTTTACTAATCTTTATTTTCGGCTGATGGATAAAATTGTTGCATTTGATCAGACATAAAGGAAATGTGGGATGCATATCAGAAAGCAGACGCTTTCGTCTCAAGCCGCACTCCAAAAACCGGTGGAGATTTGATGGCTCAAGCTGAAGTGCCACAAAGAGATGTCAACTCCAGATGGAAGCCGCCGGCTCCAACTTCGCATTTTGGGGTATTGTATCCTGGCTCTCGGTTACCAGGTCTTTGAAGCAAAAAAAGTTATAATTGTTGTTTATTTTCTGTTCTTAAATTTCTAGATATTTTGGATTTTTGTGTTTTGGTTGTATAGCTTAAGTTTTTGCATATATTATTAATGTGTCTTAGTGTGTGCTTGGTAACTATGCCAGAATTTATAATGCTAATGAAACTGAGATCTGTAAACAATGTGTGATGATGAACGAATTTGTATGGATTTGTATACTTGTAGAATCAGAATCATTGCTTATGCTCCATTTGATCAAGCATATAACTAATAATTGTCTTTAATAAGGAACAAATGGAGATTTAGACTTGCTTGAATTTAAGTGTTGTTTGTTTCTGTGCCTAAAGATCGGAGTGAAATATATATTATCACACCCATTAAGTTCTGTATGCAGAAATCTGCACAGCTTTCTTCAGAAGACGTGACCGCCTGGTCTTTGAAGTAAAAAAGGATATAATTTTTTTATTTTCTGTTCTTAAATTTCCAGATATTTTGGATTTTTGTGTTTTGGTTGTATAGCTTAAGTTTTAGCATATATTGAATGTGTCTTAGTGTGTGCTTTGGTTGTATACCTTAAATTTTCATTTAGTTTTTATGTAGATCTAGACAAATTTTAAAGATTACATAATGTAAATTGAAAATTTATACTCTTCAAATTGTGCATATTTTTTTTTTGTTCATTTTGGATATAGCATAATTGATTCAGACCAAAATTTATTGTGTTAGCATATTCTAATCCTCTAACTCAGGTTACTTATTTATCCTGCTATGTAGAAAATACTTAGCTGCTCAACTGTGTACCCCTTCTTGGGTAAATATAGAGTAGTGAAATGTGTATTGGCTGAAACCGTGTCTTCTATATGAAACTATGTAAAAGAAGTCATTGTTAGGAGTGATGGAGGCTGAAAGAAGATGAAGATGTGAAATACTTGAGGCTATATGTTCAAGTTTTAATAAAATAAAAGGTATGTTTAATCACACTAATCTTATACCGTAGTAACCTCATAGTAATCCAATCTATTATATAAAAATCAATTGTTAATTGTTGTTGGAATTACCTTGCACTGGATTTTCACTATTTGCTGCTTTCCTTTTCTTCATATTCCTTGGTTGTGATTTCTGTTCTTTGGCATACTCTTTGTCCATTGCACACTTATGAAATTGTTCTTTCAAAGTGTCTCCTACAGATTTTTTTTTACAAAGTAACATCGAAAGGCATCCAATATACACTAAGTACAAAAGATTTTTTTCAACTGGAACATATAGAAAAGACTACTAATCAAATAACCTGTTGTACCTGTTTGCCTTCTTGTATGCGAGTCTCTTTCTGTCTGTGATGTATGTTATAAACCATCAGCCATGATAACAATCCCCTAAAACAAATGTTAGCCTGTAACTTTTGAAAAAAGCATATAGAAAAGACTACTAATCAAATAACCTGTTGTACCTGTTTGTTCTTGTATGTGAGTCTCTTTCTGTCTGTGATGTATGTTATAGACCATCAACAATGATAACAATCACCTAAAACAAATGTTAGCCTGTAACTTTTGAAAAAAAAAAGAACTGGATGGATGTATTATGTATAGGATTTGGTTGAACAACACGCAAATTAGACTGCGAGTTTAGATTTTATTTATAGGTATGATGAAAAAGCCATATTGGGCTGCAAACATCTTTTATTTTTTGACGATATAGAATTTTTATTTTTGTAATGATATCACATGTCAAAATAGTTAATATCACAGATATTATTGAAAGATATGCATGGCATAGATAGTTCGATATCCCCGTAAATATTTGCGTATATATGAATTACTAGACTTTAGAAAAGATTCTTTTATCTACTTAGAAACTAGAGCCACGTAAATAGGATGTTAAATTTGATAAACTAGTACGTGGCCCGTGCGATGCACGGGAAAATAATATTTTGATTGTATTATAAATTAAATAAATAAATAACATTAATCATGATTTACCTATTATTTATAAATTAAACCGGGTTGGACACAGTCCGACCGGATGGACCGAGAACTGGTTTATAACCGATTTAGTGCGCTTGAATAAAATATTTGATATCGAATCCGCCAACACTGGTATGTTGGACTGGTAAGATCGATACAATTTTCTAAACAAATTTTGTTACATGAAAAATTATTTTAAATAAAATTACATATTTAAATAAAACAGAGATTTATAAATTTTTTATCAATTAGTTTAAACATTTGAATTTATAAATTGTTTAGATATTTAAGTAACACTTTTTATTTAAATTTATTACAAAAAGTACTATATATATATATATATATTAAAGTATTATGTATTAAAATCTGAACAACCACAAGACGGTCCGATTCTGAAAACCTTATATTTACCGTACATTAATAAAAATGATAATGAAATAAATATTTTGTTCACATAAATAATAATAAAATGATATACAAATATTCATAAATCATTAATCATGTTGTCATAAAAGTATTGTTAATATGATTATTTGAAGTTTGGACTACATCACATTCACGTAATAAAGTATTTTCAATATTAAAATTTATATTTAGGTTCAATAATCAATTTGGTCTGGTCAAACTGATATATAACTTAATTACCTCGGACCAACCAAGTTATGTCAAGTTTTTTAACTATTTTAAATATCACCTAAAAGTAATTCAATCAAAGTGGCCAGTACCCTAATTCAATCACCCGATTGATCCAAAGTAATTTCCTTATTTTCTTTAAATATAATATTTAATTTTATGAAATAAAAATATTTTATAATTCATATGTCTACACCAAATGATAGTATATTAGAATTATAATTATATATCCAAAGATGAACTATTTATTTTTATTTTATGCATATTAATAAAAAATAAACATAGTAATTTTAAATAAATTAAGATTAATTGATTGGGTATGTAATTTAAAAATTATTTTTAGCGTTCAATATATATATATATTTAATATGATTGAATTTTTGGATTAGAATATATATATTTAAAACAATTTTATTATTAAAAGTCAAAAAGAAAAGATGCCATAAAGATTACAACTTTGAAAAGTTTGTAACCATTAATTTATGAACTCTCCGATTTTAAATGATTTATAATTTTTGAAACATGATACGTGGATTTAAAACCCATTAATTTAGGAACCATCCAATTTTTTGATAATGAATTAAAATTAAAATGTAAAATGTAAAAGTTGCTGAAAATAATATATAATAAATGTGGTTGACTTTTCCTTACTACTATTTATGGTAAATGTTAATTCTTATTATATATATATAGATCCTGTAATTCTAAAACCTAGGATATGTAATGTAATATAGAATAACTCGATTTGACTTTTACATTTTTACTGTAATTATCGTGCTATAATTTGGGAAATCAGATTTTGTATCCCCAAAATGTAATGGGATGATCTGTAATATATATCAACATGCATATCCGATTATTTTTTTCAACATGCATGTCTGATTATTTACAAAATATTTTAGGATTTAATTGTGACTAAATATTATTGATTTTGTTGCTCTACACTTTCGAATGGTTGTTTGAAAATAAACACTATTTATTTATTATTTTTTGTAGTAAATCATGTACCATTTAATTGTTATTTAATATTGCAGACTTAGTTGATATGCAGTTGCAATGGAAATTTCAAGGATCAAGATATATTGTTTGATTCGACAATATCATCCCGATCAACAATTACGTTTATTTTGTACAATTTTTTTTTGTCATGCGCAATATTTGACCGAATTTATTTTATTCAAATTTTTTTTACTTAACTAATTTGTGTTTCGACAATATCATCCCGATCAGCAATTACGTTTATTTTGTACAATTTTTTTCTGTCATGCACAATGTTTGACCGAATTTATTTTTTTCAGATTTACTTTACTTTTCTAATTTGTGTATCACAATTAGATTTGTAATCTATATATATTGAAAAAGAGAGGTCAATAAATCCTTTTGGGAAAGTTTTAAAAAATTGGTCAACAACCCCATTGACTTTCCATTTGTAGAAACTAATTTAAAAATCTTTTCAAAATATATGGTTTTTTTTTCCTGTTTTTTAGGGATGGATATATATCTTATCACGTTAAAGGTATATCCATCCCTAAAATCATGGTATTTAAAATCTATCCAAATATCATCCCAAAAATCCTTTTAAAACAATTTTTTACTAATTAACATATATTTAAATACAAATGGTGATATCACGTTAATTTTTTACTAATTAACATATATTTAGGGATGGATATTATCATCCCAAAAATCCTTTCAAAATCCTTTTATTAACATATATTTAGGGATGGATATACCTTTAACCGTGATAAGATAATTATGCATTCCAAAAATCATGGTATTTAAAATCTATCCAAATACAATCCATAATTATCTTATCACTTTTGTTAATAAAAAATTGTATAAAAGGATATTCACTACCACCATTACAACTCATCATTCACGAGTTCAGAGAAAAAAAAAATACAGAGAATAATTTTTCATCGCATATACAATATAATGCTTCCAGGCTGGGGTAAACTTGATATATAATGCTTCCAGACTGGGTACGTTAACAAAAGAAACAAACCTGAAACCCATCACGAACGGGAGAGCTATAACGCATTTTCATGATGAACAGGTAATATTTACCTTTTTTATTTCAATTTTATATAATTTAGAAAATTATTTTAATTAATATTTATAACAAACCTTTTTTGCGTCTGAGAGCAGTCCGCATTATTGAAACCATCACGAACATGAGAGTTGTAACGCATTTTCATGATGAACAGGTAATATTTACCTTTGTTATTTCAATTTTATATAATTTACAAAATTATTTTAATTAATATTTATAACAAAGCATTATTGAAACCATCACGAACAGAAGAGTTGTAACGCATTTTCATGATGAACAGGTAATATTCGCATTTTCATGATGAACAGGTAATATTTACCTTTGTTATTTCAATTTTATATAATTTAGAAAATTATTCTAATTAATATTTATAACAAACCTTTTTTGCATCTGAGAGCAGTCCGCATTATTGAAACTCATCACGAGCAGGCTGGGGTACACTTGATATATAATGCTTCCAGACTGGGGTACGTTAACAAAAGAAACAAACCTTTTTTTCGTCTGAGAGCAGTCCGCATTATTGAAACCCACGGGAGAGCTATAACGCATTTTCATGATGAACAGATAATATTTACCTTTGTTATTTCAATTTTATATAATTTAGAAAATTATTTTAATTAATATTTATAACAAACCTTTTTTTGCGTCTGAGAGCAGTTCGCATTACTGAAACCAAGCAGTCCGCATTATTCAAACCCATCACGAATGGGAGAGCTGTAACGCATTTTCATGATGTACAGATAATATTTACCTTTGTTATTTCAATTTTATATAATTTAGAAAATTATTTTAATTAATATTTATAACAAACCTTTTTTGTGTCTGAGAGCAGTCCGCATTATTGAAACCCATCACGAACGGGAGAGCTGTAACGCATTTTCACGATGAACAGGTAATATTTACCTTTGTTATTTCAATTTTATATAATTTAGAAAATTATTTTAATTAATATTTATAAATTTGTATCGTAGGTGCTTTCATTAAATGCATAATACATTATCCGAATATGAGAGCAACAAACTTTATATAAACTGAGAGCAGTCTAATTTTTGTAAAATATGTAAACTTTAAACGTATTTTATATATAAAATTTTATATACTTTTAAACATGTTAGTTGGGCAAATTTTAAGGATATATATATATATGTGTGCTAACTTTAAGTATATATATTTTTCTTATAAAATAGTCTAGACAAAATTGAGGTAATTTCACATTTTTCAATAATAATATAAAATATTTTAATACTTTTACATATGTTATATAATAGTCTGCGTGTTCTTAATGTCTTTTGGTTGTAACACTGTTAACACATATAATATTAGATACTTTTAAACATATTTGGATATTTTTTTTACTCATTCTTTAATATCTATGTGCATAAAAAGAGAATAAGATTTATAAAAAATTTTCCGGCAATATACTAAATGTTAGATAAAAATCTCATTTTATTTGTTATATAATATTTCGAGTTGCATTAATTTTGATTTGTATGTGTAAAATTGATAAATTAAGCGTATGAAAAGGAACTTACGAATTACTGTAAAGATTTAAAAAATAAAAAATAAATCTAATTTTTGAATATTTTCTAAACGAATTTATGTCATAATTCGTCATAATTTTCCCACATCATGTCAATATTTATTTTATAGGTAAAGGTAAATCATTATCTCAATATTTATTTTATATATTCTAAGTAAATCTTCTCATCTATCTCAACGGTCCGCAGGTAGTATTTCATACTTTTCTATTCATAATCAAATATACCAAACCTTCACAAAGAAAGTGTTCAATAATTTATATTTTTTTTCCTTCTTTGCAATCCATTTATTTTTATTACATATATATAAATTATATCATTTTTAATATTTCACACGTTAAACATTTCAGGAAAATATACCATCCCGTGCATCGCACGGGTACTGTACTAGTAATATAAAACCCACAAATGAGGAGATATTCATTCAGCCAAATTCGTTGACCGATTTTAGCGTGCTCAGATTTTAATACCTTTTTTAATTCGATGTTCACTCAATTAAAAGAATATGGCCGCAGTTTTTGATTAATCTATATATTTTACAGATTTTGTTGACTTTGTTAATTCAAATTTTAATATATGACCGCCACTTTTCAATTGAATTAAAAAATAATTACTAATAGAGGCAAGAACAAATTATTTAGGCGGGAAAATAGTTACTTTTCAGGTACATGTCAAACCTTTTTATATTATTATAGATTATAGATATAAATATCATATTACGTGGACTTTTAGGTTGTTCTCTTCGTGCTTGTGTTGTTTAGGTTTGTGTTTTTGGTTTGGGTCATTTTGTCATGGGAGTCCGAGTGTGAATTTATTTTATCATGTTGGGATCGTACACTCGGACATTATCTTGTTGGGATATTTTTTAGTAGTTTTCGTTTTTGTTTGTGTTAGTTGTTTTTGTGTAGCTGCGAGTTTGTTATTCTAGCGTTGCTAGCAGCCTATATGCGATCTTCGGATCTACCTCTCAGTCTTTTCAGCATTTGGTTGTACTATTCAGCTTTTGGTTATTTTCTTTTCGCACTTTGTGTGATTTTTATTAATATAATATCTCTATCGTTTCGAAAAAAAAAACTATTTATCATTATATATATATAACGAATACTACTTTTATAAGTGTTATAAATAACAATAATAATAATGACATTATATGACAATAAATTTTAGAAAAAAAAATAATAGTTGAGTATTATGATGAATAAAAATAAGTAAAATTATTATTTTTCTATATAAAATATAAATATAGATGTTAAAATATTATTTATATTAATATATATAGTTAGTGAGATATTATATTGTTAAAATAAATTTTTAAAAAAATGTTTGAAGAAACTCACTAAATTCTAAAAACTGAATAGAATACATATATAACACAATATTTATTTAAAATTTGGTTATATAAGTTTAAATTAATTACATCAATAAATAATATTAATGTAGAATTAAATACTTATCATTATATAAAAAAAAGAATACTACTTTTACAAGTGCTATAACTAATAATAATGAAACTATAAAATTTTAGAATAAGATAATATTTTAGTATTATGATGACTAATAATAAGTAAAATTATTATTTATGTACCAATAAACAGATATATGTTTTAAAATATTATTTATATTAATATAAACGGATCAACGGGCTAATACATTGTTAAAATAAAGTTATTAAAAAAAGGTTTTAAGGCACAAATTTTCCCGTGCATCGCAGGGATGTATACTAGTATGTCATGATAACCTTATTTATGACTTCACCAAAAAAGCCCCTTAAAAATCTCCCAAAAAAGGCATATAATCTACCCTATCAAATACTGAAAATCCCGAAAAGAATAGATAAATCACTCCATAATAATAATAATGATGATGATGCTTATTTCTTGGACGAAAAAAAAATATTGTAACCAAAACATGGCCTTCAAACTAAATGCATTGGTCATAACAGCTGAAATTGTGTTGGTGGCTTACATTCTTCTAGACATATATGCTTCAATATTTGTTGACTTGAACAGCACCGCAATTCCTGAAGAAAGAGTTATCCGATTAAATTCAACAAACGAAGATCCAAAGCTCGTCAAGGTCGGAATGTTCGCGGTCGATGAATACAATAAGATGAAAAGAAGCAATCTGAAATTCCAGAGTGAGATCAAGGCTATGTTTTCACAATCTAGCTACATTTTGTTGATCGATGTGACTCATGAAACTTTTTCGATGTCCAAAAGGTACGTTACCATTGTTCACCCACACGGGGATCGAATGAGTCTAATGGCATTCGAGGAGTATTCGGAATCAGATATCTGATTAAGTGCACCTTGATGTATATGACCTTCTATTAAGTTCTATCTATTTGGCTAAGATTGCAGGTGTTTTTATATTAGAAGGTCAGTTTGAAACAATGTTGGATGTTTTTAAGATAATAATAATGTCAATTTTGGCTCAGTTGGTCATATAAACTTTTATTAGCCAATTGCTCAATATTCAATCTGATTGAATATTTTTCTACTTGTAAAGATAATTTATTGAAAATTATATTATTTTGAGGCATTGTTTTATCTTTTGTTTTTGTATTATTAGCATACTTGCACAAATGATAAAATCCTTAGATCATTGTTAGCTATGAGACATGGTTGCGCATTTGATGGTAATCATGGAACATGTCTTTGAAGCTATGATCTTAAATAAGTTTCAGGTCGATGGGTGTTTCGAGACAAGATATTGAATAACTCGATAACACTTGTGCATATGATGCATGCTCGTTGGACGAGGGATGTTGCATTCTATCAACATTAGCGCGTGGACCTTAATGCATATATAAAGGTGCTTGTTGGGAACAAGTTTACTGAATATGGCCCAATATTAGTTGGAAATTAAATTGTCGAATAAGAATTTTCATGTTGTAATATATATCTTGTGTATTGAATGTGATTCGGAAGAAGAATATTAGATAGAATTAAGGAGGAGAAAGTAAAAGAAGGAGCCNTCATTTTGTGAACTATCCTATTTCCAAAAAAAAAAAAAAAAAAAAAAAAAAAAAAAATAAATTATATTCTAATGTTCGTAAGCCGACACACAAATAAAAGTCACATTATTATTGGGTCCGCATGATTCATGGACATATATAGGTCCATTGCATATCTCAACAAGGCTACAAAGCGTACAATAGATTCACTTCATGAATCTAATAAATTTTTCAACTTTATCAAATGGAATTTCTCTTGCTTAGATATGCATAGGTGAGTCATATAAGGATTAATATGAAGCAAAACACGTAATCCAAGTTGCAAAAGAATATGACTATCGTTGTTCATTAGAAGTCACAATACAGTACAAAAATTGGAAGATAGTCATGCGTGGCAATTAAAGTGATTGAAAACTCCCGGTCCAATTGAGACCAAGGACGAAATTATTGTAAAGCTCAGCTTGTAGTTTGAGTCCATTAGTGAAATTCCAAACTTCAATCAGAACAAGGTTTTTCTTGATAAAAGTCTATTGTAAAAGAATTTCGTATTTTATTCATCTTTGTTTGCATAATGAAAAATACTGAGGAGAAAAAAAGCTAAGAAGAAAAAAAGTTAGAAAATTTTGAAAGTACTTTGTTCTTTTTGTCTTGATCAAATTGCCAAGGTGGGATTGATTATATATATAGATAGAGAGATAAATAGATAGATAGAGAGAGAATGGATCATATGAGAAATAGAGATAATGAAAAAAACAAGAATGAATGTAAGCATTTAGATCTGACAAATGAGTGGTCATGATGAAGAGAAACTTTAGTAATGCAGGCAAACATGTAATGACATATGAAAAATATTTAAACATATAGTGATCAAATATTTTCATTTAACTACTCCTTAAGGGTATAAAGGTCATTAAAACAAAACAACTCTGGTGGACCCCACCCAATCTTTCACACACACACACACACACCCGCCACACACACACGTCCAGGAACAACACACCACCACAACCTGCCGCCTTCCATTCGCCGTCCGCCANACTACAAAGAACTAACCTAGCAACTAGTAACCTAGCAACTACAGAGAACTAACTTAGCAACTATAGAGAACTAACCTAGCAACTACAGAGAACTAACCTAGCAACTTCAGAGGACTAACCTAGCAATTACATAGAACTAACCTAGCAACTACTAACCTAGCAACTACAGAGAACTAACCTAACAACTACAGACTACTAACCTAGCAACTAGAGAGAACTAACCTAGCAACTACAGAGAACTAACCTAGTTGGAAGGTTAGTTGTCAACGGTCAACGCCGGAAGTCAACGGTCAACGTCGGAAGTCAACGGATTTTTGCCTAAAGTCAACGTCGGAAGTCAGCGGTCAACGCCGGAGTAAACGGGTCAAAATAATATTTAAATAATTAAAATAATAAAAAGAAAAGAGTAAATCTTAGCCACACATGATGTACCGAATCTTGTGGCTAAAAATGAGTCTCACGTCCTCATTGTTACACTTTTTCTACCTAGCAACTACTAACTTAGCAACTACATAGAACTAACCTAGCAACTACAAAGAACTAACCTAGCAACTAGTAACCTAGCAACTACAGAGAACTAACTTAGCAACTATAGAGAACTAATCTAGCAACTACAGAGAACTAACCTAGCAACTTCAGAGAACTAACCTAGCAACTACTAACCTAGCAACTACAGAGAACTAACCTAACAACTACAGACTACTAACCTAGCAACTAGAGAGAACTAACCTAGCAACTACAGAGATCTAACCTAGCAACTATAGAGAACTAACCTAGTAACTACAGAGAACTAATCTAGCAACTACAGAGAACTAACCTAGTTGGAAGGTTAGTTGTCAACGGTCAACGCCGGAAGTCAACGGTCAACGTCGGAAGTCAACGGATTTTTGCCTAAAGTCAACGTCGGAAGTCAGCGGTCAACGCCGGAGTAAACGGGTCAAAATAATATTTAAATAATTAAAATAATAAAAAGAAAAGAGTAAATCTTAGCCACACATGATGTACCGAATCTTGTGGCTAAAAATGAGTCTCACGTCCTCACTTTAAATAAGTGGATGCATTGGAATCAATCCCTATACACACACACACACACACATATATATATATATATATAATCATTTTTCACATAAACTCACACAATTATATTAAAATAATAATTGTATTACTTTTTCTACTAGTAATTCAAATACAATTATACTATTGTTACACTTTTGTATAACATTTTTTCTTATTTAAATAAACTGAATGTATGGTAAATATGTGAAAACATAAAAATTGGTAATTTTTGGAAAAGAAGGCCATATAAGATATTCTTAATAGAAAGAAAAAATATCAAAACAATTAGTATTGAGTCAATCATTAATGAAATTCATGAGTTGAGATAGCGTTCAATCTAAATTTGTTACTGTTTTGAAACTTTATAATTTATATTGAAATATTATTATTTTATAATATAACTTTATATTTTTTAAGTACATTAAATTAAATCTACGATTATCAAAAAATATATAGTACTCAAAATAAATTTCTGGATCCACCCCTGGCCTCTGCCATCCTTCGCAAGCTTAATTAACATTTTATTATGAATTTGTGATAGAAACTATAAGTTCTTATTTCTTTTTATTATGTTATTGGAATTTCAACATTTTATTCATTTTGTATATTTATTGTGGATATTATAATTGTTCGAGTTTTATTATAATAAATTTTGTTTCACTATGGAATCCCTAATATGTAGACGGAAATTATTATGTGTATCAAATTTGACACAATATTGTTGTCAATTTCATAATAACGATGCATGAAAAATGTGTCGCATTTTGATAATTCTTAACACCCATATTTGTGTCACCAAAAATCATAACGACACTTAAAAAATGTAATGTATTGAAAAATTACCTACAATACAATTTTGTGTCACAATAATTCATATTAATGACGCTAGAAAAAAGTGTCATGCATTGAAATTTACCGACGCTAAAATTTTATGTCACAACTCGTATCAATAATGACGTGCTCAAAAAGAGTCACCGATTGAAAATTACTTACAATAGTATATTATGTCACTAAATTATGTACTAGATACGCACTTTTGAAAAAGTGTCACGTATTAAAGATTACCTACGCATCTAGGTTGCGTCACAAATAAATTCGTGACATCAAATTTAGCAACACAACTCGTGACACATTTGCAAGTGTAGGTAAATTTTTTTGTGACACTAATAAATGTCACTAAATAAAAAAATAAACGTTACTAAATGCAGTTTTTGTTGTAGTAATGGCCATCGGAGACGTCGCCCTCAGCCATAGCCAGAAGCTTCACGCCGGTTACGTGCTGTTTTACAGATCCATTGAACCGTCGAGAATGGATCCAGGTCATTCGAATTCGGCGGAGAACACAACCTATAAATTAAAACTAACTATAATTTTCTAAACTGGATATTCCGGTATAATCGAACTTCACTAAAGTGCCTATAAAATAGCTCCGCAATAACTCAGAATCTTGTTTGATTGTTGAATTGAATAGTGACAGTGTCCTACTTTGACAGTTTTTTATCAACATCCCCATGACGTCTTTAGGAGGTAACTGTCTGTACAAAGTTTTAATTTCCACAAAATAAGAAGCATTTGAGACGTGTGAATTACTTGATTGACAAGTAACAATTTAATTGGAGCTTTTTTCAAGCACAGTCAGCCCTCGCAAATTTTATAGTTGTAAGTTAAACATGGTATATCGTCTAAATAAATAAAAATCAGAATTATGCTCCACACAAAATAAAATTATCTCCGATTTGGTGGACCTATGAGTCATGTGAAAGATCTACTAGTAATCTATTTGATTCACTATAAATAGTCCTTTATATATAGCTTTTTATAGTCCTCAATTGACTTGATCGTGGAAGATTTTATGTTAGAAACACAACTCAATGTATTTTACTGATCTTTGGAAAGAAAATTGATTGGAAGGCTGATTCGAGATGCACCAACACATGAATTTCCATATGTATATATAGTTGAAAAATTTGCGTATTATCATAATTTTTTTTTTTTTTTGATACAAGAAACGAAGGCTACACCGAACCTAAATGAGAACCGACCGCGAATACGAAAATATTTATCTTTTTTGTTCCCTCTTATTTGGAACGATTGCAACCGCATGCAGGCTCATAATGCCACTTGTTCTTCACTCACAATCTCTCAACAACAAAGCTTTAATATAATTGGGAGGCCGTTGTCACTTCAATCCTCTTAGGACAATTTAATTACACGAGTTTCTGGTGTGGGTAATGGTATCTTTAAATTATGATTGGTGTTAGTCATACTTGGGTGAGATAATTATATTTCTTTATTACGTATCTAATTTTTTTTTTTTTTTGGGAACGATAAAAATTAGAGATATTCGCAAATATATATTGTAGCATTTGTGCCATATTTATATCTAACCACTTAGTGAATTATTTATGGTCCTTTAATCTGACATATGATTCAGCATTATTGAATCGTACGTGTCATGTTTTCTGGGTTGAGTTGAAATGTGATCCCACCGCCTCAATTCGTGGTGTGATGGATAGACGAAAACAAATTCGACCAACTGACAGACAGACCCCTTAAATAAATTCTACGCTACAAGTTTCCTGGCCATACTTTATAATTTCACCACAATTAACTCTTTAATCAATATTGTTAACAAAATAGTATTACTAGCAATTGGAAAATAATACTTCTTGAACAAAAATATAAATATTATTTTCTTTTTTAATATGAAAAAAGTGTTAAGCGAGGCATAAAACTAAAATTTATGCACGTAAAACGATATGTTGGACAAATATGTACTTATTTTCACAACAAACGGCACGAATGACAATCAAACTAATGAAGTCAACGTATTCAAACTTAATAAATTTGAAAAAAATAAATAAATTCAAACAAAACAAATAGAGTACGCTTTCTGTAAAAATAATATTGTGAAATTCAAATATCAGTATCCAGAAGAGAAGTGAGTTATACTGTATAGTCATTTTTAATTACATTATTTCAATGAATTTACTCGTCTGTAAAACTCTTAAGAAGTTAAGAAAATCAATGAACACTAGGAGCGTGATTAAATATGAATCCGACCGATTATGATCTAATTTATTCCGTAAGAGTGAGTAAGATATTTTGAATAAAGTTTATTGAATGAATGATTTTGAGTTTGAAATTACATAATATTTAAAACGTAATGATTAAAGCTGATGCGATATAAAAGTAGGATATAGATTATTGGAAGTAATACATAGTTAAAATTAATTGAGTTGATAAATAATGAATTAAAGTTGATGTAATGTGTGAGAATGATTTGTTGATTTTATTTTATTTTATTTTTATATTTATAAAAAGTAGGAGAGTTGATTTGAGTTGGATTTAAGTGTAGTGATTGAAAATAAAATAACATGATCGGCCAATACCAATTATAACTGGTTATGAACCATATTCAATCACGCCCTAGATGCTTTAATATCTTATGTTCTAACACTCTAAATTTCTTGTTTAATTTGCATGAACTAAATTTTCAACGATGGAGGGTATTCATAAATATTGGGAATTACCACAAGGAGTTCTAAGCCAAAAGACACATTTATGGACAAATTCGAATGTGAACCAATGCACTCGAAGGAAAAAAAAAAAAAAAAAAAAAAAACCTTGGGCACCAGGGGAGTGACCCGTCGGGGGCTGGTAGGCGATTGCACCCGCAACATGTTGTGGTGGCGGTGATGAGCCAAATAGCCCGTAATATTGTTGGCCGCGGTGAACTTAATGCTCTTAGTATCGTTGGATGTTGGCTGCGGTGAACTTAATACTCATAGGTGTCGCTGGATATGATGGCCTCTGCACCCTACAACTTTAGGTTACATAATATATTCGTTTTGTATTCTAACCAACATTAAAGCTATTTAGATTCAATCAAACGAAAATCTATCTTTTCCCATGTCTAGTTTAAAATTATTTTCCCATTTCTCCTAAAACGGTTTCAAATGAAGTGAATGATTTTTTAACGATTGTAGAAACTAAAGGGATTGGGTTTGACAAATTTTATGACCTTATGTACTAACTTAGGTCGCTTACCCCTAACTATAGAATTTTGAGCCATACGTCTTTGGAGTTCGACACGCCTAACAGACACGCCTTTGTATGGGGATTGACGCTCGCCTGCTCGGGGTATTTTTCAACCAAGTCTTCGAGCTTGGCCAAAGGTATGTCGCCAGCTGCTCGTCCAATAAATGTACTAGCGACCTAGTAGCTAATGTTTGGGTATTCGAAATTGGGACTACGTACGGTTGGTAAGGGGGAGGAGGTCGAAGAGACGGAGTTCTGGTTAACACTATTCAAGGTAAGATCTGAAGACTGGCTAGAATTTGACATTATAACATCGGTTTGAAGCTTATATATTATATATATACCTATAGGGGCTGGTTCAAATAAAAACTATGTCTGGTGTGAGAACCGTGAGAACCATATTTGATGCTATTTTTAATTGTGTATGATGCTATTTTTAATATTACATGGTGCTGTCATTTTCATAAATGCTAATAAAAATTTTGTTGCTATTTTTAATCAAATACATCCTAGTTAAAAATAACACTAAAACACAATTAATCATAGCACTACATACAATTAAAAATAGCGGTTCTCACGGTTCTCACACTAGGACTTGGTTCTCATTTGAACCACATCCTATACCTATATACCTATATATTTATATATTTATTTTATATATTTAGTTTAGATTTATTTATATTTCGAATTCTATGTTTATTTCTTTCGAATTCCATTAACATTAATTAGTTAGAACTAATTAAACATTCCTCAGCTTTCATTCGTAAGGGTAACAGAGGTCATATAAGTGACCTGGTAATTAGAAGTATGGTGAAAGAGTCGTGAGTTCATTGGACGACCTAAGGACCTATTGAGTCTTGGTAAAAAATGAAATAGGATCCTACTAAGATGGTAAGTATATCTCGCTAAAGAGTAAAAGATCTTATAAGCATGTCATACTAAGATATGAGATGCGTGAATAATGAGATTACGTGGGTAAGAAGCAATATCTACATAATAGGAGGTTACCAGATTGCTTTACAACTTAATGCATAATACGTCTTATATTCCCGTGATAAAAAGTTCACAAGCAAGATCTAATTGAGCGTTAGAGCTTTCCTCCTTCCTTCATTAGTACCGGGGGCGCATATATAATAAACTCAGTGTGAAATTTGAATGAGATCCTACTTTGACTTTTGACTTCGCTCGCCTCTTTCTTCCTCAAATCTATGTTTGGGTGGACAGCTGGAAGGACTGACTTGACTAAAATGGATGCTTTCTCTTTCTATAACCAAATCATGACGGCCGAGGCGTGCTATCTGACGATACCCTTTACTTTGAATAAAATACTAAATGAAATGGAAGTTCAGGCTTTCCGTCGGAACTCAAGTTGAAGGATGATTCGTGAGGTTGTCGGTCTAAAATTTGTTTTGAGAGCAATTTGGGTCACACAACTATGTATTTAGAAATAGTATATCTCCCATCTTGTCATAAGTTTACTCTTAATTGTACAACCTTGAAAGCTCTATTGGTTAGAGCACGATTCGGGGTGTCATATAACCCGCGTAGGATACTTATTAAGCTTATCNGAGGAAAAAAACCTCTTATTTAAAGCCACGTCTCCCAGCGACACTTACATTACAATTTCAATCCAACATAACAAAAAATCCCAAGTATTATCCTCACAACTATTTATTTTAACAAAAAATTTATCTCCGCCGAAGAATGAATGGCGCCGATGCGGTTCCCTCCGACGACCCGAAAGCCCCGCTCCTACCGCTCCACGACCCAAATCCCAGCCCGTCGGGCTCCGACTCGTTCCTAAAATCCCTTTTCAACATGAAAAGCTTCTTCATCCTGCTCGGCCCGATGCTGTGCTCCGTCATCTGCCTCACCGTCAGGCTCGACGGCGACGGCGGCGCGACCAGCCGGAATATGCTGGGGGTCCTGGCTTGGGTGTTCACCTGGTGGATGACTGAGGCCGTGCCGATGCCCGTAACCTCCATGTCGCCGCTCTTCCTCTTCCCGCTCTTTGGGATCTCCACCGCCGACGATGTGGCGCACTCGTACATGGATGACGTCATCACGCTTGTTTTGGGGAGTTTCATACTCGCGCTCGCCGTCGAGCACTACAACATACACCGGCGATTGGCTCTCAATGTAAGTGCTAAAAATCCTGTACTCATTAATTTGATTTTCGCAAACAGTGTAATTTGGGTACATGTTAATATTATTTTTTCTCCAAAATTTGGGGGTTTAATTATAAATTCCTTATTCTGGATAACCAATTGAATATAGCATTTAAAAATGATGCGAAATTAGAAATTGGCCCCAAATTGCAGATAACCCTGCTATTCTGCGGTGATCCCCTGAGCCCGCCGCTGCTGCTGCTGGGCATCTGCGGGACCACCGCGTTCGTGAGCATGTGGATGCACAACGTGGCGGCCGCCGTTATGATGATGCCGGTGGCCACGGGGATCCTGCAGCGGCTGCCGGTGGGGCCCGCTCAGCCGGTGCTCGTCTCCAAGTTCTGCAAGGCGGTGGTGCTCGGGGTGATATACTCGGCGGCGGTGGGCGGGATGAGCACCCTCACGGGGACAGGTGTCAACCTCATACTGGTTGGGATGTGGAAGAGCTATTTCCCGGTGGCCCGCCCAATCAGCTTCAACACGTGGCTGTTCTTCGGCTTCCCACTTGCTTTGGTCATCTTTGTTGCCTTGTGGGCCATACTCTGCTTGCTTTACTGCAGGAAGGGGTCTGGACCGGCGCTATCTGCGTATCTGGACAAGGCCCATTTGAGGAGGGAGCTTGATTTGCTGGGTGAGGCCCATGTTTAATAATTTTTTTTTATATATATATTTTTTAAATTTCATTCTTTTCTTGGATATATATATTTTTTTAGATAAGATTCAATAATTCATGGTTTATAGTGAGTCGTGCCCTTGAATTGTTCCATACATATCACTTGGGGGACAAGGGCA